GGTTTAGGGGTTTAGTAGGGTTTAGAATTTGTGATGTTGGGTTTTGGGGCACATGTGGTAAGGGCTAGTTTGGACAAAGGCACCCACCAGTCGTCCATTGGCATCTTCAGACAGGAATGTATGATAATAGCGAAAGTTCAATCCTTAGCCAGAGAAAAGTTTATCGAAGGCCTGTAACCTATACCCTAGTCCGATGACCAGTCTAGCTTAAGGGTCAGGGTTTTAAATATGGGGTTAAGGGATCAGCTCAGGGTTTAGTCGGGGTTTCAAAGCAGCTTGGCGGCTCTCCGTGGTGGCAAAGAATGCCAACTCTTGGAGAGCCTGAGCTGCAAAATCAATCCGGCGCTGGAATTAATGCCTAGGAGAAGCACCCATATATCCTGAACAAGCCAAGCCACGTGGCACTTGGGGCGTACAAGAAAGTAGCCGGTACCATCAGAGGCACACACTGCCGCCAGTGACAAATATGCTGCCATGGCAGCATCTGTACATCGCTTGATGCTCTGGATGCTCGAGCTCTCGAGGTACCGGGGGGATTGCTCAACGGTGTTCATGAGGTTACCCAGGAAGTGCCTTGATGCTGTGATCAGAGAGCAATTCGGCTGCTGAAACCCTTATGTCTATTATATTGAGTCCAGGCACATGCACTGGGCCAGCATGGTCAAGTTCTCTGTTTGGTAATCCTCATCCTCGATGAGACCAGTAGCCACATCCGCCAGCCAAGCGGTGATAACCCGAGCCTTGCAGAAGATCGGCTGAGGAGCCCCAAACCCTGGCAAGCTGAGAACCCACATATCAGCCAAGGCACGTTGTATGCTTTGGCCTGCAGCTCGCATTCCCCTTTCTGGTTCCGGAGGTTCTTCGGCTTGAACACAGGCTGGCTGTGCCTATTAATCAGGGTTGGACGAATCAGGTTCAGTGTTCCTTGGGGTTTGGGCTTTGGGGTTGGGGCTGCGGACTTCGATTAAGTACCCAACAGAACTGAGATTGGAAATTGGAATATATTTGGAAGACGACCAACTGATACTAGTTAAGGATTTTTAATATGCTTCGGGTGTCATCGGAAGGGTCTCATTAATCGTATTAATGCAGTCTAGTCACACGATGCCGTGTTCTCTTGCCCACTGGGTGAAGGCAGCGAAGGCAGCTTTGAGCTTCTCAGGTTTCGAAGTTCCGGGCCAGACATCCTTCATATGCGTATTCGTGGACTCTATAGAAAAAGCGTAGCTACGACCACATACCTTAAGAAATTACTGTCGGGTCCTGCTTGAGGAGAAGCTCCATACAGCCAGCACAAGCCCAAACCAACATTCCAAGGTTCAAGGAATGTAGGCTACACCAACGTAGCATGTCATGGCTAAATCCGCGGAGCTGAAGGATGAAACCTTGAGATTGGAAGGCGGTCAACATACAAGCCTTAAGTACTGCCGATTATGCAAATGTAGCAAGCCAAAATAAGATAAGTCCTAGAGTACAGTGTAAGGCACAGTCTGCGCTTGCACAGTCCGTCACGAAGTTGTGGTAGGAACGTCTTGCATCAGCATGCAATGTCGACGGCACACTCACATACTCCTGCTGCGTAGCGTAGCAGTGGTGGCAGATAGCCGAGCTGCTCCACCCGCACCGCATGCTCATCATTTCCTGATCATATTTAGGGTTTAGGGTTTAGGGTTTAGGGTTTAGGGTTTAGGGTTTAGGGTTTAGGGTTTAGGATTAATGCTACGTACTATTTCATAGGTGCTGCCTTCTGGAATTTCCAGTCACCGCGTATTTCGGTGACCAGAAACCGGCAGACATTGCCGTTGTGAACCACCAAAGGCTGCTGCGAAAGCGGCACATCCTCGTCCACGTGGCCATCATCGCTGGTCAGCGGCGAACTCGGCCACAGGCCACACATGGCCGCATTGAGGGATTGCACGACCTAGTTTTTGTGCTTTAGGGTTTGAGATTTAGGGATTACAGCGATGCTATAGACAACACTGCAAAAAAAAAGAAAACTACCCAATGCAAACATTTATGCTTGCCGACACGATACGGGTTTCAGGTAGGCTTGGAGCGTTGCGTAGCCACAGCTGAGGGCCTTTCAGAAGGACTTAGGATTCGGTATGGGTTTCGGTCAAGCATTTTAGGGGTAATCTATGTTGCGGTTGGGCTCAAGGCTTACAGTAGGGCTGGTTTGCATACTGATGGATCGATGGCCTCCCGTATCACAAATAATGGGAAGTGACTCTTCATGGAGTCCATCTTCTTCTCGGCCAATGTAAAACCCAGATACATCACCGTGAGTTTCTCATTATTGCTGTGCTTGACGTCGTCGCCATAAAGGAATATTCCCACCGGGAGCTGGGAATCCAAAGTGTCAGTATTGCAAGGATGGGTGGATGCCCAAGTCGTAAACTTCAACAAATGGTCCCACAGCTTGCGACAAGCCCCTTCATCTATCTCCTGCATTCCCTGGCTGTGCATGTAACTGAGCAAATGATGAGGTAGGACAACAGGCATTGTCCTGAAGGATAGCAGCCATCCCCTATAGGCCTGAGCCCGGAAGCCCTAAACCCAGACACGAGACCCAGACCCTAAACCTTCCCAGCACCAGGTATGCCCGACTTCTTATTTATTAGACTAAAACTATATAGATCTCTGGAGCACTTTTGCACCACAGTGCTGTTCGTCATGGACGTCTTCATCGGCACTTGAACGAAAGACATTGGAACCTCAGCTGTAGCTATAGTAATACATTGCATTAGTACATGCGTGAACCGGATGAAAGCGATAAACCGAAAACTTGAAAGCCACGTGTCGGAGCCCATACACCTCGTTGCTGCCCGTAACATATCACGTTCCATGTTGGAAGGGTATTTGCCCCCACAGCCGGCACGACGAAGTTTGTCTCCCAGGAGGCCCAAATTTGCCCCAGCAGCCTCCAACTCCTGGACCCGGAGTCAACCCTCAGCATGAAGCTTAAACCCAAGGCTTTTTATAGTGCATAGCACAAATGCTTAATTACATCTCTCAAACCCAATAGCCCTGGTCCCATCCTTGTGTCCATTCCGCAGCATCGCTGCAGCTCCACAAAAGCTGAGGTCCTGGAGTCCGGAATGGGGGATGCAGCTTGAACTGGTTGGGATTCGGGATTTAGGTTGCAGTTGGGGTCTATTAATAATAATTGGATTATGGGACAAAGAGCACAGCTCGATCTGGTTGGGGTTCGGGGCCTTGGAGCACGGAACAGAGGGTACGGTCTTTATAAAGGTTAAGGTTAGGCCGGTTCTTTTGTATATACATATTATGAAGGGAGAGGACAGCTTAAGCTTCATCTGGTTGGGGTTCGGGCTCTCGGTTAAGGTACATAAGGGTTCTGTTTGGATTACGGAACAGAGAATGCAGCTTCATTTGTTTGGGGTTTGGGCTTCAGGGCGAGGTTGGGGTTCTTTTATTGGGTTATGGAACAGAGAATGCTTGATCCGGTCGGGGTTTCGGCTTTAGATTAAGGTTGGGTTTCTTTGTGGGTGTTAAAGATTAGGCTTTGGGGTTTAGGGTGTGGGCTAATTGCAATTTCATTTCAAACCCGAGTCCCCCTTCCCAGTGCACTTCAAGACATGGCGAGATAGAGGGCCGATATCGGCAGGAGCATCACCTGCGTAGGGCAGCAGCCAAGCACAGATCGGTCAACACACACTTTGCTGCAGGCACTGCAGCACTGCACTGAAAAGCCCACTCGTTTCTGATCAGGAGAAGCCAGATCTCTTTGTTCGAGGAATTTAAATGGCGACTGCGCATACAGCAATCGAGAAGCGTATGCAGGTTCAGCCCACACACACATGACGAAGATCAAAGAGGTCACAAAATGTGCACAGTGCAGCTACGGCACACCACGGGCGCACATCGAGTAGAGCCCCGGGCCCACAGCAAGCTTACTCTCAAGCTGGAATGTTGCCGGGCTCTCTTCGATATGTATACCTATATTATATTAAAGACATATCTGCACCATCATTTCTATGTTTGCTGCCTGGCAACAGCAAGCTTGTATGCACCGGCAGTTCCCTAAGCCTAGCTTTGCTGCACACCTGACCATGTCCAGCACATGCTGGAGATCACTTGTTGCTAGCCTTTGCTTTGGCTTTGCCCTTGGATTTGGCCTTGGCTTTCGATTTTGCCTCCGGCTTGGGCTTTGGCTCGGCCTGGGTTGCTCAGCCACACGTACTGTAAGTTTAATATTAAGGACCGGTCAACACACTCTCACTAGTAACCTCGATCAAGGCACTGCCTTCTTCTTGATCATGGATGCAGCGTCCTGGTATGCCTTCAGCACTTCAGCCAGGGCCTCCAAGCATGCTTGCTGCTTCTCCGGGCTGTCCTCTAGCTCATCAGCCTCGGATCCAAGCTTCACCATCAGGGGTCAATTATCTTGTGAATCAGGGGTTGAGGTGCCGAGGGTGTAGGGCTTCGGGTTCTTAGGGTGAAGCTTTCGTGCGGATACTGAGCATGTCGAGTTTTTAGAGGCTTTGGGCACTTATAGGGTTTTCGGAACTTAGATTTAGGGTGTTGGGCTTGAGGATTTGGGGTTTAGGCTCTGATGGCGGCCTTGAGACCGATCCAATTCCATCGCCAAAATCCTTAACTTCAAACCACTCTCTATAGCCCAGAAGCCCCAAACCCCTAACTATCCCCCCCCACAGCCCTCAGACCTTGAAACAGGGTAACCTGAACCCGAAAACCCGAAGCCCTGTAAACCCTAAACCGTCAAGCCTCACCCAAACTTTGAAATGCAGACACACCAACCCGATACATCCAAAACAAAACAAGCAACACAACTGTCGACCCGCTCCATCCACCAAAACTAGCATTGGTACTGCAGGGTCCCTCGACCATATGATTGAGCTATAGTCCGGAGCCTCAATTAGCACCTAGAATATATACATATATAAATATATACATACATGTAGTGAACCCAAACCCAAACCTAACCAATCCCTAAGTTGGCTACTGTGCCTTCAGATTCTGCAAGGACGTCAGCATTGCCTCGCGATGCAGCTGGAGCTCCTCCATGTAGCCCTTGCGCAAAGGCTCCGACCTCATGATCGATCATACATATAGGGTTTAGGGGGTGGGGTTTAAGGGTTTAAGGTTTAGGGTTAGGGGTTTAAGGGTTTTGGGTTTAGGGCCGGGTTGGATTGATTGTGGGTTTTACCTGAAACCTCCTGGATATTAGCTTTATGTGCACAGATAGAACTGTATGTGGGTTGGAGATTCTTAATACTAGTATGATCGGGTTCGGAGTTACCGAGTTTATGGCTAATCACACCAGACAAGTAACATGTGTGGCGGCTTGGCCTGAAGCACATCTTGCACGGCATCCAAGTCCTCGATCTTGTCGTTCACAAGCTTCGTCTTATTTTTGACCTGGTTCGCGAAGCCACCCTTGCCTGCTTTGCGCAGCTTCTTGTACTCCTCAGCCTCCCTGGCCAAATCTTCAGCCGAGCCCCGGGTTTTCAATCCATACGGCCGCGGCAAACAGGAGTCGCCGGAGGATGCAGCATTACTTGCCGACGCTCTGTCTGCAAGCTGCAAAGCCAGAGGCCTTAATTATGTGTCAGGGTGTAAGTTTAGGGTTCTGTTAGATTAGGGATGACAAAGGGGAGAGATAAGAGTATAAATATTAAGATAGGTCTATTCTTGTCAGAAGCAAGGAGCAGGATCTCCCGAGTCTGGTTCCCATCCAACTCCAGCTCTGTAGCGATACTCGTCTCTGTCGACTGTTTGGAGCTCGAGATGATTTTCGCGCTGTCCCAGACGCGCAGCAGCTCGTGCTCCTAGGAATAGTATATGTTATTATGGATCCAGCTCAAGCTAAATCAGAAACCCAGATATCGATTGGTGTTTAGGATTCAGGGTCCAGGGTCCATGCCATAATATTCAGTCCAGCTGCTTCGGAACCCGGAAGATCCGGATGAGCAAGGACCCAGGGCAAAGTGTCCGGGTCAGCTTTGGGATCTTTGTCGAGAGCCTCTTGCATCGCCCGCTTTTCATCTCTGATCGATTTGGCCATCAATGACCCGTGCTTCTGCTTGAGGTCTTTAAACATGATATAGGCTTCTTCCATCTTCAACTCCTTGTCCTTCACCCGCTTGGTCTGCATAACGAGTGTACTGCTGAGCCAGTTGCCGCTGCATCTCAGGTAATCGAGGAACAAATTCTCGATCTTCCCACCAGCGCTCCTGGCCTTCTTCGCAGCATCGATCACTTCGGGAGGGCAGGCCTTGCCTCAGTTGCATATATAGCTAGCTAGCCAGGTAGTGCCAGTGGTTGTGTTGCTTGGGTTTCGGACTGATTTATCTGCAATGAGGGGGCTTTTTGTGCTGCGGTTGAACTTCATGTACACATTGTGCGCAATACGCAAAATGTGCTCCTCATAAGTCTCGTTCTCCTTGCGCTTCAAGGTCGCCTCCTGCAAGCTAGCTTCTCCCTATTATAAATGATAGGCCTAATTTATAACTGTGAATAGCCTCAGAGCATCAACTCAGGAAGTTTTATAAGCTAGAAGTATTCTATATAATAAATTACAGCGTCCTGGATCTGAAAGCTCTCTGGGCGCCGTAGGATTTCATCGATCAGACCCTCCTCGATGGCCCTGTAGATTGCACCCTGTCTCTTCGGGGCCTCAGCCGCCTCAGCCGTCTGGGCACCCCCTTGCAAGGACTCTGCCTCGGCCACTGCCGCTGCATGCATCTCCTGTACGGTGGCTGTACTTGGGAAGGGCCCTAGGGGTGTGTATGGTGTACAATCTATAGCTATGTGTGATTTGCAATACGAATTCGGGTTAATAATTTTGGGGGACCCTCATGTAGCTATAGAATCATCGGTAATTGGCCTGGGTTGAGGGGCCACGCATGGGAGTGGTGTGATTCGTCTGGTTCGAGGCGTCAAGCTGCATGGAGTCATGGGTCTGCGTCGTCTGGTTGGAGCCAGCAAGCATGGAGCCATGGGTCTGCGTCGTCTGGTTGGAGGCAGCAAGCATGGAGCCATCGGTCTTTGTCGTCTGGGTGGAGTCCTGGTTGTCCACTGAAGCATCGACCCTATAATCAGCACAGGCCCTGAATCCAAGGCCCTGGAGATTCCATCAACCGAGACTTAAACAGAATCCGGAGAAGAACCCATACCAGAGTCGAAAATTGAAAACATTATTATATGTAATACGTACTGGGTTTGCTAGCCAGCGTCACGAGCCTGGGCCAAGGCAGCTGACTCCGACTCATCGCGGCGGGCCTCCTGCTGCTGCCACAGAGCTGGCTCTCGTCTGTATTTACTTTATGTAGTTTGGCTATGCACCCATCCCCGATTAGGACAATATATGAATTAACATAAGAGGACCTATCCGAAACCTTGAACCCTTAAAACCTCAAGCCCGAAACCCCTACACCCTATAATATGTATGCACAGTATATATATATATATATATATATATATACGATATGATATGTAGCAATATAATGACACCACTAAAATTCTCATGTCTTCCCAGCAGCTCTCTCGGGGCCTCAATTAATCAGAATAGGATTTGGGCTAGCTGTCAAATCTTCAGGGTTGACAGTCTCGATGCAAACTCCTGGATACACATGAGGGTTGGGTGTGGACAGGTTTGAGATCTTTAGGATTTAACGGTGTGGCAGATGCATCTGATTCGCAGACGGTGGCACAAGTCGCACACAGGTCAGCACATGGTGCAGAGAAGCAAGGCCTCTGGGTTAAGGGTGATTCATATGTGCACCAAACTAAAGACATAGGCTAGGGATTCAAGCTTAGGGGTTTTACAGCAAAGCTCCTCTATAGCTAGGGCTAGGGTTGGGTTTCATATGTGCACCAAACTCAAGATATAGGCTAGGGATTCAAGCTTAGGGGTTTTACAGCAAAGCTCCTCTATAGCTAGGGTTGGGTTTCATATGTGCACCAAACTCAAGACATAGGCTAGGGATTGAATCTTAGGGGTTTTGCAACAAAGCTCCTCTATAGCTAGGGTTGGGTTTCATATGTGCACCAAACTCGAGACATAGGCTAAGGATTCAAGCTTAGGTGTTTTGCGACAAAGCTCCTCTATAGCCAGGGTTGGGTTTCATATGTGCACCAAACTCGAGACATAGGCTAGGGATTCAAGCTTCGGGGTTTTGCGACAAAGCTCTTCTATAGCTAGGGTTGGGTTTCATATGTGCACCAAACTCAAGACATATAGGCTAGGGATTCAAGCTTAGGGGTTTAGTGACAAAGCTCTGTAGACTCAGTGTCCTGCTCAGCTGGGGCAGCTGGCAAGCCGCTGCTGCTGTCCTGCCAAGCAGCTTCCTACCGTGCAGCTTGGCAAGCATGGCCTAGTGTAGGGTGCAGGCTTTAAGGTCCAGGGTTAAGGGGGTTGCTGTCTCGACTTCGAAATAAATAAATATAGAAGGGTGTATGGCTTTGCGGTAGCAACTCGGGTTGAAGGAATACAAGGCTCCTTGCTCTGGCAATCAGCTTCAAGGGCCTCCTCCATCTCTCTCAGCATGCAAGCCTCATCGTCATCCACATCCATCATGACCTCGTCCTGTTCCTCCTGGTCCTGCTGCTCCGGAATGGGCTGCAGCCCAGGTCTTGCAAGTTTGTGCCAAGCATCCAGAATCAAGGTCGATGTGGCTTCCACACATTCACAGACCTTTGCCTCCAGGTCTCCCATGCTCACATCCAGGTCGGAGTCTTTCTTTGACTGCCACACAGTCACAGACTTGCACCGTTGGTGCAGGTCATCCTCCGAAATCTCACCTTCCTCCAGCTTCTGCTTGAGCTTGAGGATCATCGTTTCCCCCTGCTTGCACACAGAGTTGCGCACTTCTTGTGTCTTGGCCTGTGCTACCTTGAACTCTCGAAGCTGGGCCATCGCCTCATTGACGGCCGGAACCACATCGCGAAGCACAGCCTCACACTCGTAAGGATTCCCAGGCACACCTGCTGCTACTGCAGCAGCAACGGCACCTGTCAGGTGCACCACACCATGCTCCAGGCTCGTGCCAAGAACCTGGCCAGCCCATTGGATGAGCTTGCTCATCTCCACCTCCTGTGCTGCATCCACTCCCACGCTGTCGTCGGTCTCAAGACCGAAGAAATGCCTTGCGAGCACCTCGATCATTCCAGCCGACTCCGTAGAGGAATCATCCCTGTCCAACGGTTGCAAGGCCTGGGTGGTCATCGTGTCCAGGCTTCGTAGAGCAGGTCCTTTGGGTGTTTGCAGGGATTGTGCTGGCCGGTAGGGTTTAAGGCTCAGGGTTGGTTTGCGTCCTTTGGGGTTTAGGGTCTGGGGTCCTTAGTTGCGTGCACTACAGGGAATATAGCGTGGCCCACACACACACAAGCAGGGGATTGAGATGGTAGGTTTCAAGGTTGAGTTTGGGTTGGGGCAGAGCCCTAGAGGTGATCCTAGTACAGGAGGTTTTAGGGGATTCGGTTGATGTGGAATATATATATATATATA